GGAATGAGCGAGCAGGGCGCTGAAGAGAGCCGGCCCCAGCCGCACGGCTCCGGTGCTGGAGCCATTGCTGGAAATCAAAGCGCCGCCGCGGCGCGGGGCTCCCGGGCGGCCGGGCGCGAGGACTTCCGCTGGTCCCTGGAGCTGGGAACCCTCCCGCGCGCTCCCCTCTTCTCTCCGGTAACACTCGTGCCTGCGTAGTGCTTAGCCGATCTCGGCTGGATTCATTCTTCCAGTTTATGAACCAGTACTCACGGTGGAGGGAAGATGAAAAGAGAGACCAGTAGTCAAGAGATGGCATCTTTGAAATGGAGTCGCCGAGTTCTGCCAGATGTGTTGCGCCCTGAAGGGGTGCTGCTCTGAGCTTTCTGTACTAACTGGTTGAATGGAGAGAGATGCGATCGATACATTGATAGGTGCAATTGATTAATTTCGGGCTAAACCTTTGCACAGTGTGCGGTTGTCAGTTTGTTCCTTTTCATGAAAGAGATGCTTTTGAAGAAAGATTCTGGTTCTTTAATGACCTTTCTTCCTCCAAGTGCCTTCTTCTGGGAAGCTAACTTTCTGTTGTCTGTAAGATTGTTTTGTTCCCACTGATGTGAACTGCAGGGCTTTGAAAACAAGGACACGATTGTATGCATTAGGAAAGTAAACTCATAAATATTTTCTATGCAGTTAAAGGGCTTTTTTTTTTCATGCTTCTGAACTATGGTTTCATTAAGTGGTTTTGTTAAGCAACTCCCTGGTGCCTGGTAGAGTAGATTCTTTAAAAAAACAAAACAAAAAACGCCTCCCCCCAAAAAAGACCACCTGGATATTTACAGTGACTATTACAATCGAGAAAATATTTAAAAGGCAAATTATCTGGTTATGTATTTATCTTTACAAAAGCAGATTCTTAAATCTTTATATACTGTATTCAGAGGTAGGTTTCAGTAGTTTAAGAAGGTATCTGCACGTGTTAAATCGAGTATGGTGGTGGTTTTCCATTTACTTATAGAGTTGTGGTTGTTGTTTAGTACATCTAGTTAGTAAAGTTACTCATGAACATAGATTCTCCAGTGATATAGGTTAATTCAGATACTTGGCTTTGTCTTTGTGATTTAGAAGGACCAGCTCTGGTTCCACAATTATTCCTCTTTCCTTGGTATATATTTAAGCTTTAAGATGGATGTAAAAATTTATTACATAACTTTAAAAACAGTTACTATAACTCTTAAGTTATGCCAAACATGGCATTTAACCAGTTCAGTGCAAGGTTTGATTTGAATCAAGTGTGCATTTTGAAACTAAGTTGTTAGAGGACTTCATAAAACCATTCAGGTCAACTGTGTATTCATTTGTGTCTTTTAATTAATCACCAGAAATATCCCCGTAGGTTCTTATCATGTTAGTAGATCATTTAAATCCATATTATGGACAGGTGCCAAAAGAGGAATCTAAAATCTATGTGCACACTAACAGGTTTCATTCCTTTAATCCCCTGCCTTAGACTTAGCTCTTGAGTCACCAATGAGCGAGCAGTCAGTCACTGTGAATGTCATAGGTGAAAGGGATCTTACAGATGAGATGTTTTCACTCCCTTATCATAAAGTCTACCACAACCTGTTTTCACCCAAGTTTGGCAGATGTTACATAGAGGCAATAAGTTGAATCAAATTAGTTCATTATTGTTGCATTCAATGTTGTCTCGTGGCTTAGACCTGCTTTAATAGCTGGAAGCCATAAGGCTAGGTGTGTGTTTAATCTTTATGAGTGGGAAATTGCTGTAGGTAAGCTCTCTTTTGACCAAATTATATAGATGATGAAGCCAAACTGTATCTTTCTCTCTAGCTTAATTGTTCAATTTGCAAGTGTTAGTGTATCCTTAGGCATGGACAGGAGTTTTTGAAATGAGTTGACGCAGGGAACTCATTTAATGAAGATCAGAAAGTTGCCATTTTTTCTTCTCATATTTGAGAGGAGCCTTTTATTTCAAAAATGTATTTGATCAGATGAAGA